ACCATCATCAAGAAGGCCCAGCAGAGGATGTACTTCCTGCGCCAGCTGCTGATACACTTCTACACAACCATCATCCAGTCTGTCCTCTGCACGTCCATCACTGTCTGGTTTGGATCTGCCACCAAAAAGGACAGGAGCAGACTACAACGGACAGTCAGGACTGCAGAAAAAATCATCGCTGCCAACCTGCCCTCCACTCAGGAATGATACATTTCCAGAGTCAGGAAACAGGCAGGAAACATCACTGCAGATCCATCTCACCCCGGACACAACCTGTTCCAGCTTCTCCCCTCTGGTACGCACTACAGAGCACTGTATGCCAAAACCAACAGACTCAGGAACAGTTTCTTCCCACAAGCCATCACTCTGATGAACAGCTGACTCTGACTCACAGTGTCAGGAACAATTCCTGTGCAATAACCCAGTAACTCTGTCTCTAATCAGCACCTGTTTACTGGTTACCACTTTTATTTAATCATCATTCTCTATTTCAGAGCTGTTCATACTGTTCATATTGTCATTTTGTATATTGTATATACTGTATACCAAATCCACCTACCTCAATCACATAACACCTGCACATAATACTTATTTATTCCAGCATCCCTTGCACTATGATCTATCACACTGTGTATATGTGTACATGTATGCATGTATGTGTACCTGTATATCTCATCCACCTCCGACATGTACAAATTTTACTCTTGCATCCTTTGCACTCTGCTCATTGCACTATTGTCGCAATCGGTCTATATTATTTTTGTTTACAGTGTGTATATGTGTTCTCTATACTGAACTTGAACATGACATACAACAATAAAAGTAAGTAGGTCTATAAGCCTAGGCCTATAGCCTAATGCAAAAGTCCAAAAAGAACTCCTATAACCTACAAAAAAATATTTTTTTTTACTGAGTTCAGCCACTGGTGTCCATAAAGTAAACAGCACAAAATAAACCCATGTTTATTTCAATCATTTCTACTAGATATATTTAATGGGGGGTTTTTTGTTTGTTTTTTTTACCTGTCCTGCCCAGCAGCCATGGTAGAGAGTATAAGGAGCTGGATACCATGTTTTGCCAGACAAATTTTACTTTAACAAGAGAGTTTTAATATACTACTTTGTCTGATTTTTTATTTATTTAATGTATTGATTTGTATGTGATTTGAAATGGGGATGGGGGCACAAACACCACACAAAAAGACACCACAGAGAAAGGACAACACCTGCAACAGGGGGTGTGGACAACAGGAAACAGCAGAGGAAAATATCAACTGCAGAAAGCAACGAAACCTGCAAGAGCACAGGGAGGGAGGCTTGGGGAAAACAAACAAACAATCAAAAACAAAAAAACAAAGAGTCAAGTTGCCGAGCAACAGCAATAGACAGCTGACATAAGAAAAGAACTGAGGGAGAATGATAAGTAGAAACAGTCACGCAAAATAAATCAACAACACAGCACAGCCATGAGAGCTGGAATAATAAAAATGAATTTAAATTAATAACTAAATGAAAAGCATAAAGAATAGTTCTACCTGTTGGCAAACATTAACAATTTACAATTAACAAACTAAATTGTTTAATTGTGTGTGTGTGTGTGCATGCGCGCGTGTGTGTTTGTATGTTTGTAAGCCTGGGCACCCATCCGATCAAGACCCCGGGCTGGGTACCCATCCGGACGGGTCAAAGAGGGCCCCAGTGAGGAGAGGAGTGTTTATGTAATATTGTTAATGACCACTGTTGGCTAATGAGACCCGTTGTGAGTAGACTGCACATAAGCACCACATAGAGACAGTCAGGTTGACAGTGCTATTTAAATTAAGGCTAGTCACATTAAATATGAATATGAAATATATTAATTAATTATATAGTTAGAAGTATACAGTGCTTTTGCTGAATGCCCGCTTCTATTAATCATGTCCATGCATTACGGGGATAAAGTCAAAGTTCGAGATAAATCCACTCTTTCAAACAGTCAAACCCATCACAAGTTGCAACACTTTATAGTCTTTAACATTCACCCGAAGTTTATTAAGTAGCCTAATCAAAACAACATTTATTAATAGGCCATAGAAATTAATTACAAAGGCATGAATCATAGCAGATATGCTAATAATCCGGTGTTTGAGCCAATTGAATATTTAACTAAAATAATGTTGTAAAATGTTATAAAATGGCAGATATATGATAATTATGAATTATGTTCAATATTTAGGCTAAGCAATTTGTTTTTGTAATAAGGTTTGCTCTTCTTAAATTGAACATTAAAAACGCCTGCATTTTACTTTGAAGGCAAACTGTCTCTGTTTCTGGTTTTAGACTTCCTTGTTTAATTTCCATGGATGTTGAGCAGACCTAAGGTTGCATAAATATGATTCATGTTGTGGCATAAACACTCAAATAGGCTCCGATGCTAGCAAGGTTATTTTGCTGACCTGAATCTTTTGTTTCACTTCAATCGCCTGAGTTGTTAATGATTGATAAATATGAAATCCACTTCTGCTGGAGTCAGAGGGGCTTGAACTTTTTGAGGCTAAAGGGGGGCATGACACAAAAAGTTTTAGAACCACTGGATTAAAGGAATGCACAATGTCTATAAAATCTATTATAAAAGAGGAACCAGAGGGGCAGCATACATGTTTAAAATCACCTAAAATCAAAACTCCAATATTTTCCAAGTAATGCTCCATATTTGTAAAGTGCAATTCTCTAGATTGAACCTCTGACCTTCAATTAACAGGCAACCTGCTCTACCTCCTGAGCCACAGCCGTTTGTTTCTTCTTCAAGTAAGACCCTGGACCAATGGTGTGTTTTAAAAATAAAACACAATAAAACTATTTTGGGGGTCTGTAGATAAAAACACAAAGTAGCGGGGCTTTGCCATTTATCAATAATGATTTAAATGGGGATTTTGAGTTTGTATGTTCCCCCCAGTCTGTACCAGTCCGTCTCAGTACCATATTGTCATTCCAGCTTTGTTTTCCCTAGTGCTTAGTTTTTCTAGATTTTGGGCTATTCGCAGTTTTTTTAACTCTGCAGGTATTCCGCATGGACCTGATGTCCCCTTGAACTTGAATACACTTGAACTTGAATAACCATTAAGGTCTATGAAGTCCACTTCACAAGCACTGCACCAGTAGCCTAGGTGAGTGTCCATAGACCCTGCAGAATGTCAGCTCGTGCATGAACAGCTCAGAGTGCAGGGATGTGACAGGACCACACCATCATGCAAAATATTTCCATGAGTGGAAAAGTGGCAAAGACGCTAATAGATATTACTAGTGTCCCCACAGGCATAGTTACGTCATTCTCGGTGGAAACAAAGAACTGCATCGGTCACACAATCAACAAGTATATGACCGGAAGTATAATATGTTGCCTTCATAATAAAAGCACAAACCACATTTTGCAGCGCAGGTTGTAGCTTCATGTATTTGTATTTTTCTATATTCCCAGTGTCTCTCTTTGTGCACTGCATCCATGCATATACTGACAATATATGCCATAATTTCATGTAATTTAACCAACTTACATTGATGTATTATATTTGCCATGCGTGTGTGGTTTTACTGCAAAACAAATCAAAGTTTTTACTCTAAAAGAAATTATTCAAGCCTTGTGTTTATTTTATGTTATGGTAGTCTGTAGACTGTAACAGTAAATATAGTGGCCCTGTGTGTAATTATAGCCTATTTCTAGGTAATACCCTGAAATAAACAGTATGTAACAGTATGTTCCTACAACCCAGTGAAAGCTATTATTTGTGTATTTCAACTATAACTATGCAGCATTTTGTTTTAAATTGTTCCAGATATAGATTTTATGCAGGCTAATTATTTACACAGATTCAAATACAGGGTGGCAAGCAAAAGAAAAGTAATAGAAGATACTAGTTTTTAAAGTAGAATTATCTAGAAGGGTGTAAAGTAACAATTTTGAGTTACTTGTCCTGCAATTGATTATTCAAGTTTTATAAGCTATTACTTCATATGTCTACTCTACTTCATTTCTTAGGATAATATAAATATTTTGCCAAGTAAAAATATATTAACTATATATTATAGTTATAATATAGTTACTTTACAGATTCATATTTTATATATAAAATGTATTGAGCTTATAGGATGTGATGCATTCCTAGAGTGTACTACTAAACAGTACATCAAATTGTTAAAATGAGTTACAATGTTAAACATGTTGTTTGCTTGTTAATGAATCAAAAATTCCAATATCATAATAAACCTCTGACAAGGGCCATTCTGCATAAAAGACCACTTTTATTTATGATGAATAAAATTGTACTGTCAGATAAAGAAAACTCTGGTCAGCCTCCATTGTCTTAATGAGAGTATTTTATAAGTACTGTGTAGGAACAAATTTAACACAGCAGCTGCATAGGTTTTGCTTGACCTAAACACTTCCAATAGCTAGATATACTCAAGAAAACAAGGTCATAACAAGGGCTCTGTTTGGCTATCTGGTCTGAACAACAGAATCCTGTCTCCACAGTAGCACACCCAGAAATTTTTCATAGGGGTGGCCAGATGGGGCCGCTGGAAAAACCTGGGGTGATACACCAAAACCAAAGCCATAAATGAATTTCAGTTCTATGAGCTGGCTCTTTTAAGTGAGCGATGGAAGTTGGCTCCCGTCTGAGAGCTAGTTATTCTTGTAATTAGTTATTCTTGATACTTTCAAACCATCAGTATGACACAATATTTCAGTGTATTGCAGATGAAGAATCTTGCATATTTAGTTCTTGCAACAAAGAATGATTTCAAATAAAAAAGATTTCATCGGGGTGGCCAGGAAAGTGAGATAGCCTACCCCAAGGCTTTAAACACAGCAGTTTACACACACATTTCATCAATTTTCTCAACTTAGTTCTTCAACAACTTAGGCCTACAATGGAGCTTTTATTTGAGAAACAGTTTCAAAGCAGTATTTTTCTTGTAAAGGGTATTTGTTCATTGTGGTATTATAACAACTACAATGTATGAATATTTCTTCCACTGCCTGTAGATGAAAAAATAACCTTGACTTTCAATAACGCACCTCTAGGCTCTTATTTTGAAAGCGGAAACCGGCGGAGCTACTGTCCATTCTTTTGACCTTGACGTTAGACGGGTTTTCAGCACAGCGTGCAGTTTCAGTCCCCGGACAGCTGCTCCACCACAGCATCACAGCTACGCCAGGCGGGAGTCCGGGAGGGAGAGGAAAACGTCGGACAATGGACACTGTCCAGCCTGCTGGGTCTCAGCGGGCCACGGATCTGTGTTTAACAGCAAAACCAGCCGGGACGGAAATGTTTTTTTTTGTTTGTTTGTTTTTTATCAGCATTAGCCTGTGCGCGTGCACATGAGGATCTACTGTGCGTTTGGTTTGCGTTTTAATTTGGGCTCATTTAGACTGTCGGATAATTGGATTGATTTTAACTTTGTCTCTTTAAACCCTGAGGTGTTGTGGATGCTGGTCTTGGATGGCCGCGTGTTGCCGATTACGAGCCAGATGATGCTCGATTGATCCGAGTGTTGGCTCTCTGATGAGAGACGTGCTGTGCTGCACCGAGCTGACCAAATGATTCTCCGCTCCTTCCCAACAACTCAGGGTGAGTGACCGTGTTCAGGTACAGCTGAATGAAATCCCGCTGTGCACGCGCCCTGGTCTGTTAGAGGCTCTACAGCTGCTGTTCTGTCGGAATGCAGGATGACTGGCCCAGCTATGAGGAGCAGAATGAACTGAAAGGTTCAGTACTCGTTTTCACACAGTAAAATAAATAAATTAAAGTAGCAAATGTGTCAATGTGTCTTTTTAAATAATGTGACTGCCTCATTCTGTTTTTTACAAGTGAAAATCTTAGATTTTGTGCTGCTGAAGGCCTGTTTGTCTCCTGGCAGGGCAAAAAAACAACACATAAGCACTGAATTAACATTTAGATTTGTTATTATCCAGGTGCCAAGCTTCTCCTGAGGTAGGACCCTCTCTGTAGGCCTGTTCCTGACACCCAGCAGCCATGGACCCCCTCCCAGAGTACTCTCTGTTCCTGACCCGGATCCTGGAGGAGCTGGACACCAAGCACAACACCATGTCCTACCAGGACCTGTGCAAGTCCCTGTGCGGCCGCTTCGACCTGGTGCACCTTGCCAGGCTGCGCAGCCTGCTCTTCTACACAGCCTGCCTGGACCCCGCCTTTCCGGCTACCCTCTTCAAGGACAAGATGCGCTGCTCCATGGAGGACCCACAGTCCAAGAAGCTCATGGTGGCAGCAGACATTGTCACCATGTTCAACTTGATCCAGATGAATGGAGGAATAGCCAAAGACAAACTCCCCATAGTACACAGAGCTAAAATCCACAAGAACCAGTCGGTGGAGCAGTGCAGGTCTGACAGTGATGCCTATACGTTTCAGGACTGTGACAAAGGGGTTGGCTATGAGCACATAAATCCCCCTGTGGGTGGAAACTATCACTACCATCACCTCAACCACCCGCAGCAGCACCCTGTGGCTCAGAATGCCCCTCTCTGTCCTAAATCACCTGAGTGCAACAACTGCCAGCAGTTTATTCCCACCTCGGACCCTAATTTCCTTCTGGGGCTTAGCAAGGACTTGAAATGTAGAGCAGCTTCCCTGGACAAATTGCATCATCTGCCACAGTACTCCAGCAGCAGTCCGCCCTCTCCACCCTGCGAAATGGAGAGCACCTACTTTCCCATAGATAGCGAGTCCACCACCGACCAGGAGTCCCTGCAGCACATCAGCCATCCTGAGCCCTTTTCTGTTCACCCCTGCATTCAGAAGAGGAACATCTTTAAAGAGGAATTCCACAACTTCGCAGCCTTCTCACCACAGGTTTGTGTTTTTTAGGATGCTGTTGAAGGACATAAGAGAGGGGGACTACTCAGATTCAATGTTAATGTACCTCTGCTCTCAGGGTCTGTGTTTGGAAAACTCATAAAAAGATGAGAGAAAAAGCATTTTCTTTAGCATATGTTGTGTTGAAACACAACTGTGTGTCCTAAAGAAGACATTACTCATTATTTTAATCAGATAAACAAAATCCACATGTAAAGCATGTTTGCAAAGGTGTAACCAACAAATATTTGATATTTTTGCTTTATGTGACTTAACATCTAATTGATGATCAAAATAGTCATTGATTTGTTTTAATTGACTATTTTCACCAGTTTACCAGAGTTGACAGAAATCCGTTAATATCTACAGTGTATTAGGGCTGCAACTAGTGATTATTTTCATTATTGATTAACCTGACAATTATTTATATCGCTGAGTCTATAAAATGTCAAAAAATTGTGAAAGATGGTAATCAGTTTCAGATCCCAACTTCAGATTGCATCCCCAAAGACTCTTCATTTACTATCATAAATGACAAAGAATAGCAGCAAGTCCTTACATTTAAGGAGATGAAACCAGCTAATGTTTAACATTTTGATCGGTCCATTATCAAAATAGTTTCCAATTCATTTCTTCTGATTGACTAATTGATTAATCAACTAATCGTTGCAGCTGTACAGTATGTTGTGTTTCATTTTGAAGTTTTCAAAATTTGAATGAAGTTGTAGAATAAAGTAATTTTTGGTCAGATCATCATGAATAATCATGAAAAAGTTTAACACAATAACTCTTTAACGTGATAATTAATTATATTCTAGGATATCCCAGTTGTGAAAGCAGCCATTACTGAAAATAGCAATGTGAATTTAAAGATTCAGTGTAGTGTAATATTTTGGGGGATCTATTGACAGAGATGCAATAGAAGATCCATAACTATGTTTCAGTGGCCCTTACATATTGTGTCGTTGTGTTACCTTAAAATGAGCCATTTTTATGTACATAACCGCGGGGTCCCCCTTACATGGAGGTCACCATGTTGCGCCGTTATGTTTTTACAGTTGCTGAAAATGGACAAACTACTGTACAGAGCATGTTCCGTCACTGCGTTGTTCTTCGTCTGCTTGTATAATTCCGGCAGTACAGATGCTCGTCACTACGTTGAATGCGTACAAAGAAGAAGAGGAAATAATAATAATAATAATAATAATATACAGTCTCTGAGTAGTTATCTGGTTTATTAGAAGTAAGAAGTGAAGTGAAATTTGGACAAATAGAGGAGCATACGTATTAATCTAGCACGGGCCGATGGAGCGTAAATCTTCGTTGTCAAAGACGTGATGAAGCCAGATGAAGTCAGGACAACAGCTGATGGCAGAAATTATGCATATAAACATCGGTCTGGATTTTCCCAGATGTAAGGCGCTGATGCGGGACAAATGTTTTTAAAGCAGTGCAGAAGTTTTCTGTTCTCTGTTGGACAGGTAAGTTAGTTATTCTCCTGCGCTGTGTCTTGGCTTTGCTACGTGGGCAAAAATGTGCCGTTTAAATTGTCGAGACAATCAGCTGATGAATAATATTCCCTATTACTATTTTGTGTTTCTATTGTGTTTAAAGAAAAAAGTGTGTCTGCATCAAAAGAGACAGAAATCTGTAGTGGACATCACTGCATAAGCTGTGGAACAATTCCAACAATTACTGTCTATGAACACAGCTTGTTGCTGCATCCACAAATGCAAGCTGAAAATCCACCATGCAAAGAGGAAACCGTATATATAAACCAGATCCAGAAACGGCGCCGCCTGATGAGATGGACTGAGGAGAAGGGGAAAACTCTCCTGTAGTCTGATGAGTCAGAATGGGTAATTCTGTTTGGAAATCATGTACCTCGCGTCCTCAGGGCTTAAGAGGAGAGGGACCACATGCAGAGAAGCTAAAACAGGTTGTGTTGTGTTATGTTCTCTTTTCCTGGTTCTTCTCAGTACACATGCCGCAGCATTATGGATCAGCTGGGGAAAACTTAATCGGGCAGCCTGATAATTAAGGTAGTGCAGTAATCCAGCCTAGAAGTAACAAATGCATGGACTAGTTTTTCTGCATCATTTTGAGACAGGATGTTCCTGATTTTTGCAATGTTACGTAGGTGAAAAAGGTGGTCCTTGAAGTTTGTTTTATGTCGGAGTTAAAGGACATGTCCTAATCAAAGATAATTCAGGGATTCTTCACAGTGGTGCTGGAGGCCAGGGCGATGCCATCCAGAGTAGCTGTATCTTCAGATAATGCATCTTGGAGGTGTACAATAACTTCAGGTTTGTCTGAGCTTAAAAGCAGAAAATAATAGGTCATCCAGATTTTGATATCATGAAGGCACGGATGAAGTTTAGCAAACCTATTAATTTCATTTGACTTGATTGACAGATATAGTCTGGTATCATCTGCATAACAATGAAAGTTTATGTAGTGTTTCCTGATAATATTGCCTAAAGGAAGCTTCAGAGTGGTCCAAGCACAGAACCTTGTGGAACTCGTGACTAACTTTGGCCTGCATAGGTCACGGGTGGTGATGGATAAGACACTGATAAATAGGACTTAAAGGTCCAGTGTGTAATATTTCTGAGGATCTATTGACTGAAATGCAATATAAGATCCACAACTAGACTATGTTTTCAGTGGTGTATAAAGACCTTACATAATGAACCTTATGTTTTAGAATGAGCCATTTCTATCTACATTACCACAGGTTAAGTAGCCCAAGATGGACAAACTGCTCTACAGAGAGCGTTTTTCATTCCGTTCTTTTTCTACTTCTTCTTGTAGAATTCTGGCAGTGTAGACGCTCATCACTACGTTGAATACGTATGTTCAAAGAAGAAGAAGAAGAAAAATATATAGCAGGGGTTGGCAAATAAGTTTTACATCGAGGCATTTTTTTAATCCATTATATGGGGGTGAGAACATAAGACATAATATTTAAGTTGAATGTTACAGTGTTTGGTTAGTTCAGTTGTTAAGACTCTCACCTAGAAAGTTGTGTTTGATCCCATGTTGGTAGAATTTTGTTCCCCTGTTCAAGAAATTGATCATGAAGCAACAGTTTCACATGCTTTGATTGCATTCATCAACTTACATCAACCAGAATTTTCATTTTCACAGTATCTCCAGGCAGAGAAAATTTAGGGGAATAATGTTTCCTGACAGCTATTTCAAAGGTGTGTCAAGTAGGCTACCATCCATCCATCCATCGTCAGCCGCTTATCCTAGGTACATGGTCGTGGGGGGTTGGAGCCAATTCCAGCTGACATTGGGCGAAAGGCGGGGTACACCCTGGACAGGTCGCCAGTCCATTGCAAGGCCACACATAGACAAACAACCTATGTTGTTCAGAATTTTTTAAAGTAAAAGCTCTCAATTAAACTCAGAGTAAAGTATTGCTGCAAATATTTTCTTGCACTTTTATTTTGTTGGCAAAACCACTAAAGAGGAAGTTATTATGTGCGTCACTGTTGCTTTCATGATTGAGATCTATTTCAGCACTGCTATCAAAGTATTTTTTTATTTTTATTTTTTGCCGCTATCAAGGCACCATAATCTGGCCATGCGCCAGAATTAACGTGTTTCCCTTGACAATGTTTGTATAAACTTCATCTATTATGTGGTTCATAATGGACTGCGGTGCAGAAATAGTGACAGTGTTTCACATTCTTGGCTTACATTTTCCACATTATCTGTCAGTGACCCAGTCACAATAACATATGGTTTTACTATATAATTAATTAAATATAATTTCTTAATAAATCTATCTAAACAAACCTCATTTCTTGGCTACTCTCTGCTGTCTTAGACGACGACACCTTTTGTTCAGTGTCAGCCACCTATGCTCTTTGACTGATGCAATTAGAAGATCATTAGTAATTTTCACCAGTGCTGTCTCTGTGCTATGATGCACTCTAAATCCTCAAATAAACTATTGCTATGTAGAAACACAACTGATTGGCAACTGCTTTCTCAAGGATGTTAGAGACAAACGGAAGGTGTGCATTGCGTTTTTTCACTGGCTGTAATTATAGGACACATCATTGTGCCCTACGTGTAATAAGTGTAGTTTATTTGTAGACATGGAGGCGAGGCTCAACCTGTTCATGTCTCTAATAGATTTTCCCCACTCAGCGACACACCCGCTGAGAAACCAACTCTGATCATTGGCAGCTCCATTTTGAGAAACCTGAAGTAAGCGAAGCCAGCGGCCATAGTTAAGTGCATCTCTGGGGCCAGAGCGGGCGACTGAGTCTTGTTTTTAAACTGCTGGCTAAGGATAAATGTAAAGTTATTATTGTAGGGGATTTTAATATTCATGTGGACGTTGAGAATGCGTTTATCTCTCTGTTAGATTCCATTGGCTTCTCTCGGAGTGTTCATGAACCGACTCACTGTTTTAACCACACCCTTGACCTTTTTTTGGTATACGGTATTGAAATTGAACATTTAATAGTGTTCCCACAGAATCCCTCTTTATCCGACCACTACTGTTTGATAACTTTTGAGTTTGTATTGCTGAACTACACGCCATTGGGCAATAATTTCTATACAAGATGTCTGTCTGATAGTGCTGTAGCTAAATTTAAGGATGCGATTCCATCAGCTCTAAATTAATTATCAAGTCACAAAGTAACGGAGGACTCCTATGCTAATTTCAGTCCCTCCCAAATCGATCATCTTGTTGATAGTGCTGCAGGCTCGCTGCGAATGACACTCGACTCTGTAGCCCCTCTAAAAAAGAAAATACTAAAACAAAGACGATTAGCTCCATGGTATAATACTGAAACTCACAAATTAAATCAAATATCACGGAAACTTGAGAGGAATTGGCGTTCCACCAAACAGGAAAATTCTTGTTTTATTTGGCAAGATAGTCTTCAAACTTATAGGAAGGCCCTCTGTAATGCCAGAGCAGCGTACTACTCGTCATTAATAGAGGAAAATAGTTACAACCCCAGGTTTCT